AAAAAAAACCAAACAAACAAACAAACTTATTTGGCTCTTCGATTTGTTCATTCCTAACTTTTTGCTCGTCTTTTGCTTGTTTCTAGCCTCAAAAAATGTCTAAAACTCTCCTTGAATGTTCTCTAATGTCTCCTTAAATAATTGGAGTTGAATATTCTTCAAAATAGGTCAAAACACATGTCGAACTGACTAAGTCACACAAGTCGTGCGATATTGGGCCAAATTCTACACGAGTCGTATTACCCAACCATCAAAACATGCAAAAAGTCGCGCCCAAGTAGAACACGACTCGCGTGGCACTCACCTAAAATCACACGACTCGTGGGAAAGTCCAGAGCCTCCAAGACGGGACACTTACCTGACTTTAGTGGCACATTCATGACCCATTGGATACCTGGTAAAGAATGTAATTACATGGTTGGATAGTCCTTCAAGTCTATTTTCCCAATTGTTTGGATGTGCATCGTTGAAATATCGCCGTAAAAAGGTGATTGTGTAGCCGGAACAAAATTTGGCACATTTTCTCCCAATTGCGGGCAGCAGCCCTGCTTGGCGAGCGAGCACCCGACTCGCACAACAACACGCTCGAGCACGCCAGGTAGCTAGAGGTGGGAAAGCACAACGAATCCCCAAGGAGCACTTGTCCCAGCGCATAGCAACAGCGAGTCCCACGGGTCCTCGACCCGTGGCTTAGTCCGGCTCGAGTCCAACTCGCACCGGTGAGTCAAGCCAGGTTCCGGCTCGTCCAACTCATTTGTCGCAAATATTTAGCTTGTTTAAATTTCTTTTTCTTTCTTTTCTTATTTTGCCATTCTTTCATGAAATCACTTTCATTCGACAATTTTTCTATCAAAACACAAAAGAAACAACACTTGTTATAGTTTAGTAAATTCAATAAAATATGCGAGAGTATACGAAAAACTACAACGAGACGAACGTGAGAATCACTCGAGCATACATGTAAAAACAACGCATGTCATTCAAAAACAAGCAAGCTTCCAACTGCACATTTTGTTTATTTTTTTCTTGCCAGCTTCACATGAATAATAGATTAGTAATACCTAATACATTCAACTGTCATGAATGCCTCCAAGTTTCCATCCACAAGTCACCTTGCAACCCAACAGTTCTCCAACAAATCTTGCCAAAACTAGAAAAAATCACATAAACTATTAGCAAACTTCTTCCATATATTAAAAGATTGCAACTTTTTTTAACTAACCCTGCTACGCATTTCATCGAACACATAGCTGACACCTATCTACAAAGAAGTATCCTTCGTCCCCTGCTGTGTGCAAGTCAAGGGGACAAAACTACACAAAATCATCACACACCCATTGTGAAATTACCTCAATACCCCTGGGCCTTTTCTTGGAAGGAGACGGGTGTCCTCTGTTCTGCAAGAACCTGACCCGACAGAGCAATATCGCTCGATCTGTACATTGTCTGGCAAACCTCGTATAAAAATCACAATGCCCCTTCACATTTTTCATGTCCAGTTTGTGGTTTTCTTGTCCAAAATCTTAGCTTTTTTTTCAAAAAAAAAAGAAGGGTTCTTGATGGCTGGTGAAATGGTGGGTGGATTTCAAGATTTGCTGCCATTCATGGCCGATAAGCTCGGCGGTGATGGATTAATCGGCGAGCTGTGTAAAGGGTTTAATCTGCTGGTTGATAGGGAAAAAGGGCTCATCACGTTTGAGAGTCTGAAGAAAAATTCGGCCCTTTTGGGGCTGCATGATTTGAGGGACGATGAGTTGCAGAGCATGCTGAGGGAAGGAGATATCGACGGCGATGGGGCCCTCGACGAGATGGAATTCTGTGTGCTGATGTTCAGGCTAAGCCCTGAGCTGATGCAGCAGTCTGAGGCCCTATTGGAGGAAGCTCTAGAGCAGGAGTTCAGGGCTGCTCGTGATTGCTGTAATGCAATTGCAAAATAACATAGTAAGATTCGTTTACATTGGTGGAGTAAAACTGTAAAAGCTGTGTTGCTTCTTGTACTTGGATCATTCAGTAGTTGATGTTAGTTACGAGCTGAAAATCGAACATCAACTCCTTTGAGGAACATAACAGTTTTTGTGTGAGATTTTTTTTTTCAGTGAGAAAAAAAATAGAGTGTTTTAGTAAATCCGGTAAGTGTGAAAAAAATGCACCGGGTTGGGTATGTTAGTTCTCCTCTGCCGAATGTAAACTATTTATAGAAGGGGAGTGCAATGAATTGCACTCCAATTGAACAAAATTGGCGCCTACAAATTGCAATCCTTTTTTTTTTTTTTTCTTAATAATGGTGACTAAGCCACCAAATCCGACCTCACTCTCTCTCTCTCTCTCTCTCTCTTTTTATTCTTTTGTTAGACCTACAGAGACGTCATAGGTTCAAGTATAGAGTTTGCGACTCCAAATATCTTTCTTCTCCGAAACTCGGGGATCGCCATAGGTTCTTGTTCCATCTTTGTCACCAAAAGTCGGAAAATCAATACAAGTTGAAGAAAAAATTTCAAACTACAAACAGATTCGAGCCAGAACCGAATTGAAGAAAATTTTACGAACTGTCGAAAAACTTGAGCAAGGCAGTGGACTAGTATGTTGCTAGCTGGATTAGCTCGAACTAGAGTCCGATTTAGAAGATCGGTTAAGGTTTACGTCGGATGTGTAAACACATAGATCGATTTGAGATCACCTATCAAGGTTCAAATTAGAATTCTCAAATGACCTGATCATATATTCGAAACTAGAGTCGTGTTTTATAAGATGTAGTTCTTGGTGATCGACCTATAATGAATGAAATTTCGAGGAGAAGTCTACTTAGGAGAGGAGGCACATTTGTGGACAAAAGCAAAATATTCAATATCTTTCAAAGATCTTTCGCAGTTTAATAAGATTTAATGCGTGTGTGAAATTTCGCCAAAAGGATAAACTTATTTCTGTATAAAAGAATCTCACCAAGTATAAAAACTCTAATCACAATTATTTATTCTCATGCCTGCAGCGTAAAATTTATTTTACTGTACAAAAAACTACTTTGCAACGTAAAATTTATTTTACTGTACAAAAACTACTTTGAACGTCCGAAATTACTCCCAATACTTTTTTTTTATTAAAACCGATTCATGAGGTTACAAATCAGGAAAATGCTACCATCCCGTTACTGGATGATTCTGTTGTCTTTTATAGCCGTAGATATACATGTAATATAGTAATGTATAGATAATCTATGCTCAAAATATACGACAGAATTATCCCGTAACGGGATGTAGCATTCTCTTACACATCAAAGATATACAATGTAGGAAAAAATATAAAAATTAAATTGCAAAAAAAATTATGAAAATCCAAAACAAGTAGGTTATTTGAAGCCATCCATGTGGCCTAGGTGATGAAACTCGTCGGCCTCCCACGTGACATGACTTGACATCACAAATAACACAAATTTTGTCGAATAAACCTTAATCAAATGACAAATCTAACATATTCCCCTTATACAAATCAAGATTTTTTTTCAAAACGAAATGATTTTTAGATTATGCTTTATCATAAAATCATCATATGCCGCATACCAAGCAGCAGCCTTGATTGCGTTGATAATAGCCATAGCCAAAGCCAACTGGTAGGGGTTTACTATACTTCGTACTCTCTGTACTCTCTTTCCCTTCAAAAAATTCGAAAACCCTCTTTCCCTTTCCATCGCTGGCCTCTGCCGGCGAAAATCTTGGCTTCGGTCTCTGCAAACTCAGGCTGATTTATGGAACCCAGAGGATGAAGGTAGAGAAGCTTGTGACTGTGTGAAACCCCACGACTGTGTTTTGCTGAAGAAAGGAAGCTTCTGATGGGTAGCATCGAGCCATTCAATCGGTACTTCACAGTGAGCCGAGCTCGAGCTCTCGTTCTATTTAAGATTTAATTTTTTGCTTTTTTTTTTTTTGAAATTTTTACTGACTGTTATCTTGTTTGTGGTTTATCGCCATGGAAATTGAAAATTTTTGGTCATAGGCTGGTTAAGCTGGCGGCGAGGGCTTTCTATGACGACATAAGTACGAAAGGTGAAAATCAGCCCAAGACTGGGAGGGGCGACAACAGAGGGATTGCTGTGGTTATTCTCGATGCTCTTACTCGGTAACTTCAGTTCACAATTTATTTATTTATTTATTTTTTTCAACGTTTGGGGCAAAAAGATGACATTTTTATGTTATTTTTCTTTTGGGTTTTGTATGCTTTTGCTGTGGTTAATTTCCATGCTCTTGAGAGAATATGGCATACGAATTAAAAACGAGAAAGTAAACAACACAAGATTTACGTGGTTCGGCAATATGCCTACGTCCACGGTGGCTGAGGGATATATTTTATTATGAATCGTACTCAATACATCAATACACCATGTATTTTTCTTTTGGGTTTGTAGGCATTTGCTGTGGTTATTCTTGATGTTCTTACTTGGTAACTTCATTTTTGGAAAAAGATGAAATTTTTATGTGAATTCTCTTATGGGTTTGTATGATTTGCGTTCGATAATTGTAATACTAGCTTTATGATTGTGTACTTCTACTCGAGTCTGTGTAAGACATTGGTTGATGGTGCAAGCCATTTGGATGGCATTTGAATTGATGACAAAATCGCGCGGTTTAAACTAATGTATCACACTGCTTGACTATGGATTGGGTACTTGAGTAATAATTAATTATTTCTAATTTGGGTTGTACATTAGTAAACATACTGAATCTGACTTCATCACTTTTAGCAGTCGCATATTGCCTCTAAAAACCAAACATTACAACAAATGATACAGTAATAGATTTTTATTTGTGGAATTTTCAATGTTAGGAAATGATCAGATTGAAATATTCTGGGTCTTGAAATTGTTTTAAAGTTGAGTTCTGGAAAAGATAAATTTTACAAAAGTACTTGATAACTTATTTACGTATATAAACAGGCGTCAGTGGGTGAGGGAAGAAGATTTGGCAAAGGACTTGAAGCTTCATACGAAGCAACTTCGTCGTACCCTGAGGTTCTTTGAAGAAGAAAAGCTAGTCACTCGTGATCACCGGAAGGAGGTCAGCTTTGCTGCTTAAGCGTAATTTTGTAATTATGATTGCGGAATCTCATGTATTAGCTCTTTTTTTTAGAGTCTTATATTTGCTTCCCAATATAGGAAATGATTATGACTTCATTGACCCGTGGCTGTACACGTGTCTATGTTACAAACATGTAATTATTATAGGATATTGTGCATTTTAAATATATTTAGAAATCAGATAGGAAAACGACAAAAATCGGAATTGTGTAGAATCTACTTAATTCTTTTAAGTAAATTGTGAATCCCTCAATCCTGATTCGGTTGAATAAAAGTATTTATCAGATAAATGGGAAACAGATACAAATATCATGTTCTTAAAATTATCAAGCTCTCTCATACCTGGCACTTTCTATTTTCTTGGACTAGTTCAGAAATAATTTATTTTACCACTTGACTTTGTGCAATTGCAGTTCGCCAGTGCTCTATTATATTTGTTCTAGCATTGTCAAATTTATATTGTTTTGATCTCTTTGCAGACAGCCAAAGGGGCAAAAGTATACAATGCTGCAGTAGCTGCCACTGGTGAAGGTCAACAAACTGGAAGGGAAGGGGACGAAAAACTCAAGATGCATACCCACTCATACTGTTGCCTAGATTATGCACAGGTTAGATAATATGGTCATTGACTGATAATAGTTTTACATATTCATTTTAATGTAAAAAGACTTCATATTTCTAGGTAGTCGCAGGATAATTTCATCAATCAGATTGTTCTGTGCCTCATGAAACAGCCACCTAGGTTGTTTTGTTAGCAGGATTGTGTTTTTCAGTTAAAGAAGATTTTGTAATAATAAAAGGTTTTACTGGTTGATACGTGATGAAAAAACATGGGGCCTTAGTGTGTGAGAAGATTTCGTGAATATCGCTAAGGGGATATTATTATATTTGCTTTTGTGTTTTAGTGTTGGTGCAAGTTCTTTCATGAGAAAAATGAGACTAGGTGCAATGTCTATGCTGGAGACAAATCAAGATGATAAATATGGATTGTAATCCCCATCCAGGTAGCTCTTCAATTAACTTCGTTTAATTTATTTGCAGATATACGATGTGGTAAGGTACAGATTGCACCGAATGAGGAAAAAACTGAAGGATGAACTAGAGAGCAAGAATACAGTGCAGGAGTATATATGCCCCAATTGCAGTAAGAGGTATCGGTCAGAAATTGTTTTTTTTTTTTTTTTCTAGTTTTATTGAGAACGATTCCGTAGGCAAGCACAGGTAGCACTCCAAAAGTTTGCTGCCGACTTTAAATATCATAAATACAGTCATAGCCATCCTGGCACAATCATTTAAATTCCTATTCATGTCTCTATAATCAAGCTCAGTATATCTATAATCTATCTATAACTCCAACCCCCTTAAAAGTATGAGTTGTTTCTTGAAAACATTGAAATGCCCATATTACCCTCTACAAATCTAACTTTTAAATACATAAATGTAATTTTATAATATTAATAACATTTACTCCTCCACAAGTAAATACGTTTACTCCTCCACAAGTAATTTTATATTGTTACTTTGTTACTAATAAATAATATAAACGAATAAATTGTTTCAAATAATAATATATTTACTCCTTATAGTATAAACAACTAAAATTGTTTATTGTTCCAAATAATAATTCATTTACTCCTTTTAATATAAACAACTAAAATTGTTTCAAATATTAAATAAATCTATTTATCAATTAAATTTATTTTTATCAAATATAAAAAGATTTATGCACCTTTCACAGTCAAAAATTCCAGCAAAAGCTTTTTCTAGGACCATCAAATGAAAAAAAAAGAAATAATATTAAATAAAAAAATGTATGAAGTTATACCTGACAAGAAAACAACAAACAATTGGCAAGACAGTAAAAATAGCACAAGCTACAAGAATCCAATGCATTAATCAATTATATGCATACCAATTTAATAATTCCAATTTAATGTCATATATATGATTATTTGATATGTGATAAATAGTTGTAGTATAGTCTATCTTCAACGTTGAGAATGTATTAGTCTTTTAATTAAAAGTGAAAAAAATGAGTTACAAATCATTAATGTCAACACTAATATAAGATATATTTTTTATATTAATTACTGTTGAATGGTCGTGAATGTGTACTGTCATTTTCAAAATTTAGTAAAAACACACTGAAGTAGTAGATATCATGTGTAATAATTTTCTACGATAGTAATCAATTTTTTATAAGTAAAAATATAAATATTATGAAATATACAATCTACTTTCTTTTTTAGTTTAATCAAATTAAATTAAGCAAAATAAATTTAACTCATTTTTATTTACTATGGGATTTTAAATCCTTAGAATAATTAAAATGGATTGAAGTTCAATTTTGAAATAACTATCTTACAAGGGAAAGTTGTTTCTTGAAAAGATTGAATTGCCGAAAATTTCATACGCTATAATTAATTTCATACGCTATAATTTATTATCTTAAAGATTATTTTATTTTATTTTTTACCTATTCAATAATTTAATTTCTTTTGGTTGATATAAAGACGTTAAGATTATGTAAACAATATATAAATTAGAAAAAAAAATGAATTAAAATTATGGAAAATGTAGTTTTTGAATGTAAGAGAAAATATTATTTTAAGGTTTTATAAGTAAAATAAGGTTTATTTTATCAGTGTAAAATATATAATGCACCAATGAAAGTATCATTTCTAATTTACAAATATGAAATTTTACTATAGATATTTTTTGTTATAGAATTAAAAAAAATTAAAGAGGTACAATTTAGTGAACATGCATGTAGAATTATTTATTTTTCACATTTTGGATAGTCTTAAAAATCCATGAACGAAAATGATAATGCATGCATGACAATGTTAGGAGATGTAACAATATTTTATTTTGGACACTATATATAGATAAGTATTAGGTATCTTCAATCAACCAATGTTACAACAATTAATATAGATAGATGGAAACCTTTAATCAATCAAATATGTTATTATTCTTAATAATTTTCAAGTAATTTTTTTTCAATAATTTCGACTTTAAAGATTTTTCAAATATTTATATCTCTTATATCATTATATGCAGAGACAAAATAAATATCTAAATATTACAAAATATTACACATGCAAATAAAATTGAATTTGCAACAGTTATAATCAAAATAATAGAGAACGAAACATTCAACAATAGTGCTAGCTTCCAATCAACAATAAGTAAATGATAATTACAAATTATAGTTATAGAAAATTCGAAGTATTTTTCAAATAGTAAGACGCAAAAGGAAGACATTAAAAATTTATTATTTTGACAATAATAATGATCATTATTTTAAGTATTAAGGATGATATTACTAAATAGCAGAATCAAGGACGACTTAGATTTCTTTAGCATTTACAATTTCACAAAAAAAAATATTAATTTTATTTTAGATTTTTTAACCAGTATTTTGTATTTAATTTTAATTGTCTTAGAATTCTGTTAATAGTATTAAATTTTATATTTTATCATAAAATACATAATTTTTGTTAATAATGAAAACAAATTATATTGCATTATTAAATAAAATATAATAATAAAAAGGTTTTAAGTAAAAAACCAATAATATCACGTGCGTAGCACGTGCATCTTCCTAGTATGCAATAAAAGGACAGGTAATATTTTGTTTCCTAATATAATCCTTATCGTCACGCTATCTAAAAATATGCTTAAACCTATCCAATAGATGCACAGATGACAGATTAGACAATATTTTACTTCAATTTTTGTTTTTCGTTTCACTTTATTTTTCTTTAGCTATTCTTAGAAGTTGGACATTTATTTGGGTACTATAGATACACTGCCCTTGATGCACTCCGGTTGATCTCCCCATATGACGAGTACTTCCACTGTGAAAGCTGCAATGGGGTGCTTGTGGCTGAAAGTGACAAGTTAGCTGCACAAGAAGTGGGAGATGGAGATGATAATGCGAGAAGGCGCCGTCATGAAAAAATAAAAGACATGCTGACAAAAATGGAGGTTTGTCTTTTGTTATTATCCATGACGACCTGTCGGTTTAGACAAATTTTATACACTTAAACAAATTTTCAAATACCTTTGATGACCCCTTAAAAAATTTTGTTCTCTACTTTCGAGTTATATGGGTATTTACTTTTGATTCTCACTGAACTTTGTCTTGTTAATTAACTATGGAAAGTCATTCTCTATTACAGGAACAACTCAAACCGCTAATGGATCAGCTTGCAAGGGTGAAGGATTTGCCTGTTCCTGAATTTGGAAACCTTCAGGCTTGGGAACTTAGAGCTAATGCAGCTAACCGGTCTGCCAATGGAGAAATGAATAACAATGACCCTTCTAAGTCTTCACAGGGCCTTGGTTTTGGTGGAACACCTATGCCTTACGTTGGGGAAACTAAGGTTGCACTCTTTACTTGCAAATTACTTTTTGTGCTTTCTTTATTGTACTGACATAGGAGATAGTTTGCAGAGTTTGGCACAGAGGATTAGGAATATGTCCCCTGGTTTATCATTGCCTTGAGAATCAAACTGGACATGTCGATTTGTCTGGATTTAGTTGGACCCTTTCTCATTTCATATTTTTATTGTAATATATATATGTTTTAAAAAAAATGAAAATGCATCTTTGAATATTAAATCATCTCATTTGTAATGATTTAAATGCTTCTAGATGTTAATATTTTTATGATTTAATATTTTCTTATTATTTAAAATACTATATTAATATTTAAATATTCAAATTAATTACATCCATTAGACCTTGATTCAAATTGATTTATGAATATATATAAATCAATGTTTTTTATTGATTAAAAATATTTTAACAAATTATACTACGATTGGCAGGTCGAAGTTGCTTTTTCTGGTATTGGGGATAAAGGAGAAGATGTCAAATCAGCAAACACAAGTACACCTATGAAGGTTTTACCCCCATGGATGATTAAGGAAGGGATGACTCTCACAAAAGAGCAACGTGGAGAGGCCAGCAAAGAGATGAAGATGGACGGGAGTCACGGGACACTGAAAGCTTCCGAGCTTTCTGATGACAAAAAATCCACAATTGCTGATGACGAAGCAAAGAAAATACAGGTTTTTTTTTTTTTAAAGAGATGCTTTTTCCTGTAATCTTTTTTTTATATATAAATTAGTGAGCTTCAGGCGTGTAAGGTTAAAAGGGTTAACCTTTTGTGTTGGTGGCTTTAAGCTCGGGAGGATTTTTCCCGAAGTATTTGTCCAGAGAAGAACTTATCATTCTTGTTTATTCTGAATTACTATTATTGACTGTTTTTATTATACGACTTGTACGCTTAAACTTTTATCTTTATTTTGGTTTTGCGTTTGTGTTCATAGGATGCATATATCAAAGCTTATTATGATGCTCTACTTAAGCGCCAACGTGAACAAGAAGAAACAGTCAAGAAGGAACAAGAGTCAGCTAGTGCTACAATCTCTAATGAGGGCTATAACTCACCCACCGATCGCCAAGTTGGCATGAAGTCAAAACGGGATGATGATGATTATGATGGTAATGGTGTTCAATGGGAGGAAGCTCCTCCTACAGCTACAGGTAAATACCATTATCTTTTTTATTCTATTAATTATAAATTAATGATTTAAGATGGGGTATTAATTAGCAAAATTATGATATTTTGGTTGGATGTGTCTTTTGTATATAATATTGCACGAGAATATGAGCAAGAAATCAAGGGCATGCTTGTTTATTAAAAGTATCTCATTTGCATTCAATCAATATATAAAATCTAACTCACCTTTAACTCAAACTCACTATTTTTAATATTATCAATATAATTAAATAATACAAACCAATCATTCTTACAAATAACATCAACTCTAGTTCACTATTCATCAACTCACATAATTTTAACTAATCATCACTTCACATCATATGTCTCCTACTTTTACATCAAATAACCTTTAATTATTTTATTTTGAATAATATTTTAATACAAACATAAAATCCTACTAATAACTAACAGTATCAACTTTTTCAAAATTAATCTTGATTAACTAAAAAAACTCATTTTGAGCAGATTTATTTGTAAACAAGCACGCCCCAAGATTTTATTTTGGTTTCCAACTAAAAGTGCATTATTCTAAAGATTTGTGGTTATCATACTATTTATATTGTGTTCTTTGTAGAAAACCATAGCAATTTTTTTAGCGTGAATGTGTAATCCACAGTATTTCTTACTACATTGAAATGGAATTTACCTTTCAGGTGGCAGAACTGAACGCTTTAAAGTCGACTTGAATTTGGAAGCTGAACCTTCTGAAGATGAAGAAGATGACATAGATTGGGAGGAAGGATAGAATACCAAGTGCAGTTATTAGATAGATTCTTTAGAAGCTACAACTTTCTGACGTGGCATCAAAAGCTAAAGTTTATCCGAGTGAAGCTCTAATCAATGTAGAATGTATATTAGTCGAATTGTGTACTATCAATGTTTGTTGCACATAATGTAAAAACCGGCTTGCTTGTTTGTAGTGATATTTCAGTTTTAGTGTTAGGTGTAAACTTTTCAAGACCAGGTTATGTTGGAACTTCAAGTTGGGGATATGATCCTTTCTAATGAAATTGTCTTGCTGATTCTTGTGCTTGGTTTATGATGTTAAAGCTTAATTATGGGGTGTTCTATCCTAATGGTTACATGCAAAGTCTTTGTTTTCAATTTTTTTTTTTAGTGTGTGTGCGTGTGTGTTGTTAGCATAAAAGAGCTCGTTTCGCCTTGAATAGAAGACGAAAGAAAATCATATCATCTCTCTGTTAGATAGTCATATGTTAGTTTGATTTGTTGATGTCTTGAACTTTATCCTCAGTATGCTGCATTATTCCTTTCCATCAGTTCTTGATTAGAGTTTTCTTTACTTTGGTCATTTTTATGATTAAATTAAATGAACCCTTTTTAAAGTATATATCCTGAGTTAAGGGTGTGCTTGGATACAAATATATCCGTTTAAAACGAGTTATTTTTGTTAACCAAATTAATTTTGAAAAAAGGTATTTTTTTATTTTTTTTTTAAAGAATGATCAATAGTGTTTCCACTTCTCTTCAAAGACTCGAACCCATGATCATAGGTGATGCGTCTACCACTCAAGCTACGCTTCATTGTCATAATTAGTTAGTGAAAATTTGAGCTTATATTAAAATAATATTTAAAATGAAATAGTTAAAGTTAGATTGGATGTTGATGATTAATTAAAATGATGTGACTCAATAAATAGTGAATTAAAAAGTTAATAAACTTGAACTTGTAAATATAACTATATAAGCATTTATGTAAGCATTGAAACTAAGCTTGAACTTGTAAATATATCTCTAATCAAAACACACAACTGAGAAATAAAACTCGAGCATGCAAGACTTAGAGGACATGCTCGTTCACAATAAGTTGAACATTATAAATCCTTGAGCAAGTACTTCCAATATCTCGAACACGATGGGTTCATGTGGATTGCTCGTAAAAGGTAATCTAATTTGGGAGAAGACACGATAGCTCCATCTGTCGACTGTGTAGAAAAAAGCAAATGCATTTGGAATAAAAGCTCAGCCGGTCTCATTTCTGCAAGAAAAATGACACAAGATTCGTAAAGTAGCACAATTAAGAAGAACAAAGCTAAGTTTACTAATCATAAAAGCTTCTTATTTGACTAATATCAGCATCACCAGCTCTTTTTGTAAATTTACCTAAAATCTGTTTTATAAAAAACAAGAAGAACCATAATTCAATGGAAGGGCAAATTCAAGAGATGATATTTATTACGTGCATAAAAAAAGATGCATTAACGAACAAAAATACGAACCTGAAGGCCAAGAAAACCACTCGTCGTGAAGATTGTTTTCCCATTTTCCTTTCGAGCCAAGACTTGCTTCGGCTTGTGCCAATAATAGTGATACAATAGGCAAAGGCACGTGCGAAAAATCTTTTGCTTTCTTCAGACTTCTTATGGCGCGTGATATGTATTGAGACTCGCACGTCTGTCTAGCAAGCTCCATACAAATGGCCCCTGGATCAAAAAATGGATAATAATAGTTTCTTTTTTTTTTTTTGTCCTAAACAATTAGAAAATATAAACATGATAGTTTCTCAAGTTAATTTAAGTAAAATATACCATGACAAAGGAACAGACAATTCTCACTATCAGCCATTGAGCAAGCCTGTGCAAAGAATCCTTCTGCAGCAACAAAATCACGGGCCCAAACAGCAATCAATCCCTGCACCATATCAAACAAAGCCATCCAAATATTCCACGAGAGCTCAATATCTTTGGAGCAATCTTCGAATCTCAAGGGTATAATGGTCAAATCATCTTGCAGGCTATATATAGATTCGATGAACTTCAAACATATCCAGCCGATGTGAGAATCGGTTCCGAGATCCATACACTGCTTGTATTCTTTACTCAGGCTCACAATATCACCTTTGGCAGCATATGCACGGCATTGAAGCAAATGTGCGAAAAAGAGAGAGCTATTATGAACTGGAAAAATCGAAGCAATGTGTGCGAGCCTAAAGCATTCGCTATAATTGGCTTGCTGCAAATTAACCTCGGCTGCACAGAGTAGAAGCTGAAAGTGTTGATAATGGAAAAACGAATCTTTGACTAGGTAAAGGTGATTTGATAGAGCCACAGCTGTTAGCCGTTCTAACACACTGCAAGCATGTTGAGGGAATCTTTCTTCACGTGTCTTTTGGAAATAGTTTAAAGTGAGTAAATATCTGGCGTTGAAGTTCCATGGCTCTTGATGCAAAAACCTGTCAAATAGTAATGAAGAAAATCAAAGAGAAACAAATGAATGCAATTGAAAAAAAATAATAATAATAAAAAAAAAAATAACAGTCCAAACACAAAAAGGTGGCTAGAAATGTACTTTTGCAGCAGTTGGGTGGTTTTGGATCCAGAAGGACATGGATGTCTGCAGGTGGGAAATGAGAATTTCTCATTATTACAGCTTTCAATGGCATAACAAGCAACACTTGCAGCACCAAGAATCTCACATGTGGATTTTATTCCTTCATCCTTTTGATGCTCAGAGAAATCCAAAGTCGAGCAGCTAGTTGCTAGAAAAAGATCTCTCCATTCCTTGCTTGATAGTAACAGATAACTAAGAAAATTCCTGATAGGAAATAAACTCAGTTGGATGAGCCTTCAGCATATTTATGCAATACGGAAAATCTTAGAAGAGAAACAATATTTGCAGATCTACACTTAAGGTAAGACAATGGGGAAAGAGATAAGCAGGTAAAGAACCCGCATGCTGAATAAACCAAATGCATGAATATAAAAGAACAAACAGAAGAAACAAAATATATTTTCACTCATGTACACAGAATAAAAAAGAATGTAACATACCTCAGCGTACTACTTGTAGGGTACATGTGAAGTGCTTTTCTAAGGTGTTGAACTCCCTTCTGAATTCCAAGTGAGTCCTTACTCCCATTCCTCAGCTGAAGAGAACCCACAAAATGCATGAATCTTGTATAGCATTTTACAAAAGTTAAAAAGCATTTATATTTAAAACTTACAAGTTTGCCAAATGTTAATAAAACGTGCATGGCGATGATATCTTCATGAGATGTAACGAAGGATCGACTGATAGACACAATATGCTCGAGTTGGTTTTTTTGGTCCAGGACGTGGATAGCAGAAAGAACAAAACTAATCTTTGAGCTGTGAAAAAATTCCTTGGGCATCTTCAAAATGCTTGCAATGACTGATTCATGTCCTGAGATGTGGTAAAGCAGTCTACAGATGAAGCTAATGGAAGCAGGGATATGTTTTTTTTCCATGGATTGAATATACGAAGCGAGTAATCTCGTGGCAGATAAGGCTTCATCATTCTTGCCAATTTGCCACAAAGATAGAGCATATATATGCAGACCATCAGAATCGAGCTGTCCTACAAAATCAAGGCAGAACATCAAGTGAAGAACGTATTCACAACCAAATTATAGCAATTGTTTGCTTTTTCAATTTTTGGAATTTAACTCATTATTTCCACAATAATCAAGAATTAGGACGTGCTTGTATACAAATATATCCGCTCAAAATGAGTTTTTTCGTTTAAATAGAGTTAATTTTTAAAAACTTGGTATGATTAGTTTTTAGTGGGATTTTGAGGTTACATTAAAATAATGTTTAAAATAAAATAAATTAAAATTGATTTGATGTAAAAGTAGGAGAGAGATGATGTGAAGTGATGGTTTGTTAAAATTATGTGATTTGATGAACAGTGAATTAAAATTGATGTGATATAGAACAATAATTGTTTGGTATTATTTAATTATATTAATAATACTGAAGATAGTGGGGTTGGGTTAAGGTTGAGTTAGATTTTAGTATGAATTGGATTAATTTATAAACAAACACACCCTTGACTTCTAAAATCATGTAATCTCTCCTACAGTAATCAGATAAGATATAATCACAATTTATATAAAAAAAAACAAAACAAAACAAAACAAAACAAAACGTATAAGATAGAATAGGAAGCAAATAATTCCAGCCATAACTCACACCTTTTTGCCTTAAATTTTGGCACTCTTCAACTGCATCCTGTGCATGTCCTGCCTAAACCACCCAATAAACAATACGAAAAAGAAAGTGATGATAAACAGAGGACCGTGCCTAGAAAAGAGCATCCGCAACCAATAAGAATATCACAAAATATTACCATGCAAAGTGATCTGGCCATATTGATGGATATATCTTTTTGATGCAACTCTGATGATTCTCCTGCAAAAGATATCAGAGCACAGCTAGCCAGTCTGTAGGATGTAATAGCACTTTGGTAATCAGATCTTGATTCACAGATTAGCCCATTCAAATTGTGGGATTCAGGATAATGAGGCACACGCAGCAATGCCTGTTGAATGGCCCCAAAAACCTACAGCGTTTATTACAAAAATAAAAAAATAAGGCCATTTATACTTTCCCAAGCTTTTCCAAACAAAAAAAACAAAAAAAAAAAGAAAGAAAGAAAGAATCGGCTGTCAAAAAGTGTGATTTTGTAAAAAAATTATTGCTTTGTACCTCTGAAGATGATAAGTAAGAAGAACGCAGTGCAAGCTTCGCAAGACCGACTTGAAAATCTGCAAGCTAATCAGAATAACATCTATGAGAGAAATGAAGGACATATTTAATAATCACATGAGCATACAATCCAACAAAATATCATTTAAGTAACGATATAATGAGGATACGGTAATATATACCCATTATTAAAGGTTAGGATTTTATTATCAAATGGTATCTCGTTTCTACAG